TCAGCCCGGCGGCCCCGCCCCCGCGCTCCCCTCCGCCCCCCATTCCCAGCGCGAGTGGCGGCGGCGGCGGCGGCGGCGGCGGCGGCAGAGCCTTGGGGGCGTGCGTGCGTGCGTGTGTGTGTGTGAGTGCGCGCCAGCGAGCCGTGAGTGTGTGTGTGTGCGCCCCGGGCGCGGGCAGGGCAGCACTCCGACCGCGGCGGGAGCCGGACGGCCGCGTCGTCACTCGAGCGCGAGAGAGGCGGCGGCGGCGGCGGCCGGGGCTGGGGCAGCGGCAGCGGCGGCCGCGCCGGGCATGGAGCTGGCAAGCCCGCGCTGAGGCAGGACGCGCCGCTCGCAGCCTTCGAGAGCTTCTCGGGCGTCCTGCGCGCGGGCTCCCGGGGAGCCGAGCCGGGCCAAGCAAACTTTAATTTTTAACCCTCGTTAGAGGTAAAGTCCCGAACGCGGAGTCCCCGGTGGGGGAACAGCTGGGAGAGATTATGGGGAGGAAAGGGAGTGGGGTTAGGGGACCCCAATTTTCCTGCGCCCTAGATCTGGGGTACGAGCAGGTTGGCCGAGGACAACCAAGGGCAGAGGGCGGCCTGGAGGCGGAGGCGAAGCCGAGCGTTCGCCCGCTGTCCCCGGCGGGGAAGAAGGGGCGCGGGCGGTGCGGGCTTCGAGGCACCCCAGTCTGCCTGTCCCCGGGACTTGTGGGGAGAGCGAGGCGGGTGTTCGGCCGCGGAGTGGGGTTGCCCGGGAAGCCTGGCGTTCGCCTGCGGCACCCCTCCCTCCCCACCGCCGCACATCGCCCTGCCCCAGGCTGGAGGGCGCGGGGCGGGCTGGCTGAGCGCGGCTTCCCCTTCTCTCCCGCAGGCGCCTGGTGCGGCGAGCGGACCGGACTCCTCGGCGCGGCGCGGCGGCGGGGCCCGGGCAAGCTGGACGCGGCATGATGCGCGCCGTGTGGGAGGCGCTGGCGGCGCTGGCGGCCGTGGCGTGCCTGGTGGGCGCGGTGCGCGGCGGGCCCGGGCTCAGCATGTTCGCCGGTCAGGCGGCGCAGCCGGACCCCTGTTCGGATGAGAACGGCCACCCGCGCCGCTGCATCCCGGACTTTGTCAATGCGGCCTTCGGCAAGGACGTGCGCGTGTCCAGCACCTGCGGTCGGCCCCCGGCGCGCTACTGCGTGGTGAGCGAGCGTGGCGAGGAGCGGCTGCGCTCGTGCCACCTCTGCAACGCCTCGGACCCCAAGAAGGCGCACCCGCCCGCCTTCCTCACCGATCTCAACAACCCGCACAACCTGACGTGCTGGCAGTCGGAGAACTACCTGCAGTTCCCGCACAACGTCACGCTCACGCTGTCGCTCGGCAAGAAGTTTGAGGTGACCTACGTGAGCCTGCAGTTCTGCTCGCCACGGCCCGAGTCCATGGCCATTTACAAGTCCATGGACTACGGGCGCACGTGGGTGCCCTTCCAGTTCTACTCCACGCAGTGCCGCAAGATGTACAACCGGCCGCACCGCGCGCCCATCACCAAGCAGAACGAGCAGGAGGCCGTGTGCACCGACTCGCACACCGACATGCGCCCGCTGTCGGGCGGCCTGATCGCCTTCAGCACGCTGGACGGGCGGCCCTCGGCGCACGACTTCGACAACTCGCCGGTGCTGCAAGACTGGGTCACGGCCACCGACATCCGCGTGGCCTTCAGCCGCCTGCACACGTTCGGCGACGAGAATGAGGACGACTCGGAGCTGGCGCGCGACTCGTACTTCTACGCGGTGTCCGACCTGCAGGTGGGCGGACGCTGCAAGTGCAACGGCCACGCGGCGCGCTGCGTGCGCGACCGGGACGACAGCCTGGTGTGCGACTGCAGGCACAACACCGCCGGCCCGGAGTGCGACCGCTGCAAACCCTTCCACTACGACCGACCCTGGCAGCGCGCCACGGCGCGCGAGGCCAACGAGTGCGTGGGTGAGTGGGGCGCCGCGGCGCCGCGGGCGGAGGGTGGGGACGCGGGAGGCTCCGGCCTGGCCGCGCGCGGGTGCAGCTGAGGATTGCCGGTGGCCGTCGCTAGAAGCCTGGGAGAGAAGAACCCTGAGAGGCGTTCGGGAATGCGGGTCCGGGGACTCGGAAGGGTTGGGAGGGGGGTCACTCACTCTCGTGGAAGGAAATATGCACGCCCGGGTGTGCGCCCCCCGGCCCTCCCCCGTCCCCCGAGTGCCCTCTGAGAAGCCGGGTTGCAGCTGGAGAAATGATGCCCGGGTGGAGGGGGGGGGGGTGG